GCAAGAGTTCTGCAAAATAAGTAAATAGATAAAAGGAAAGAGACAAAAAAAAAAGTGAGATCCAGCAGGGGGGGTAAAATAAATCAGCAGTCAAACAGCCGGTTAACTTTTAGACACAAAAAGTAAACAAAAACAAAAACCTCAAAAAGTGAACGCATGCTTAAGAGAATGATTTGCCAATAGGAAAAGATGGATGACCTGACTTTCCGCTGCTCCCACTAGAACAGAGGTCTCCAACCTTTCCAGGCTCGCAACCCAGAGAGAAGGAGAGCAGCTTCCAAATTGGTGCACGCGCGCATGTAAAAGGGGACCATGCACACCTGCCTGGCGCTAGCGCGAATGCATGCATGCATGCGCGAATGGGCCATGCAACCTNCTGGTACTAGTGCCCCATTTGCACATGTGCAAACAGGCTCCTCACACTCACTCAGCTCTAGCGGCCCCATTCACACATGTGCAAACAGGCCCCTCACACCCGCCCGGCGCTAGTGGCCCTGTTCACACATGTACAAACAGGCCCCTCACACCCACCCGGCAGGAGTGGCCCTGTTCGCACATGTGCCAATAGGCCACGCACATCTGTCCAGCATTAGCGGCCCCGTTCGCACCCGCACGCATGTGCAAACGGGGTTGCGAGCGCTAGTGCAAGTGGGGGGAGTGCATAAACACACGTGCACGCACAAGCCATTACCATGGCCTGCTGGCTAAGAGGCCACGGCCCGGTAGTTGGCCTTGGCCCATAGGTTGGCAACCCCTGCACTAGAAAGTGTAATTTTCATGATTCCTTGTCCCAGATAGGTCCACGCTCATTCAAAAGTCATCTTGGGTCATTCCTAAATGCTCCTTTTCAAATCCAAGAAGCAGCACTGCCGAAGAACCAGCTTTGGCAGCAAAATCAGCAGATCATCAGCAGGAGAGAAAAAAGCTCCTACCATTCAGCAGTCATCTTGGGGGAGGACCCTATTCAAGGCATGTCAACAAACAACCAAACTCCTGTGCTTCTGAATTCTCAGGACACTATCTAGTTATGTGCTTTCAAGCTCATATACAGATATCTGACACCCCATTAAAACCAGTGCTGAACTTTGATTGGAACATGCTTTCATAATGTGCTTATGACAAATCATCCATCTAATTTTGCTCTACATCTTTAGAAAAAAGAGGAAAAACAGTTCCACTCTGCATCAGTTCTAAAGGAGTTCCACACCCCTGGGATCTCACAAGATTAACTGAATCAAGAATGGGTCTGATTTACTTCTGGATCACCTGCTATTGATTTAAAACTGCAGTACTTTTTTTTTTTTAAATATATGACTCTCTGGAGTTCCAGAGTCCCCATTAATTCCAGATTCCCTCTTGATTCATCCACTTCTGGGTTTCTGGGCTTCAGTTCTTTCAATGAGTAAAGTGGCTTGATGCTTTTGTCAGCTCCCAGAACTGATGAAGGGACTTTTGCTATTTCAGGGACTTTTGCTATTTCAGCTCAGGAGATAGCAATAATTTTTGCTTTTTTGAAAACAATCACAATGTGTTTTTAGATTTTGGACTGAGCACTGTAGAAATGCCCAAAGAGCAGCACATCAACAGCTAATGCAAAAGCTTGAAGATTAGAATGCTTTCATTCTGCATGTCGTCTGATCTATAGATCAAGATAGAGGTGCCTGCAAAACAAACAAGCAAACAAAAATCCATGATGACACCAACACTATGACACAGGTGCAGTGATGTCATTGCACAAATGGTACCACTACATTCTTGAGGCATTATGCCTGCCACAACTACATAAGTTATAGTATTTCTATTGTATCAAGAAATATATTGCAATTGGCCCGCTATTGCTTCCCTTGAAGATTCTCCTGAGCATACATCTTTTGAAATCTGTGAGCCCCATTGTGCTGCAGATACTTTTCCCAGAGCTCCAAACTTCCTTTGGACTACTACTAGCAGTGTCTTTAATGAAATACAAATACAATTAATGGGAAAGGGGTATCCACAGTACCTACCAAAAGGTAGCAGCAACAATGCAGTTGAAGCTTTGCCTGTTCTGTGTCACACAGAAAAAAATAGGTATTTCAATTGTACTATTGCAACATAATCGATGTGGCCTGGGCGAATATCATCCTATTTATACTCTTATTTTTTACACATGCTATATGACCTATTTTATAATCTGAGTGTTGAATGTTATATGACCATAATCTGACATGAATAAAGAAAGGACCATAATCCTGTTTGGTTTTTTTTACCATACCTTGAATGGAAATTTGTACATCATTTCAACTTGATTTCAGGAATAGTTCCAGACCCAGATGCCTTCAACAGGCATTATTAGAAAATGAAAATGGGATGGTTGCAGTCTTTTGTACATGTGTTTTAAGGATGTTATAAACAAAAAGCAAAAAGGGGAGGGAAGAATCCACCCCCAGAATATAATCCTCTCATTTAGTAATCAGAACTAATTTTACATATCAATTCTTGCCATACTATACAATTTGGTTATTCTTATTTAAGTCATTCTAGATTACAATTTTAAAAAATGAAAAAGTAAACAGAAACAATGATATGTACATTTCCAAATGCTCTCCATTCAAAGGTCCTGGCAATGAAATGAAAGTATAGAAAAAGAAATATGCTTTTTAGACCATTATAATCCCAATATTCTTGTATGGAAGAGAAGAATGTCCATCTGCCCAGGAAAAAGAGAAACATAAACTGTGACAATAAGGTTCATCCAAGAAGAGTGATTTTCAATCAACAACATAACTAGGCCTGTACATATTTGAACAATGATTCAAAAAGTGGGTTTTGGATGTTATCTGAGCACAACATTTCTCTGCTACTAATTAAAGGAGCCATTTCTTTTTTCAGATTTCGATGCAGGCCTTAAAACAATCAAAAGTTACATCTGCTTTAAGGAATCAACTCATTAAAGCAGCCAAGCCATTAAAGTTTGGGCAGAAGCCTGAGAAAAGGTAGGTTGCTTTAACAAATAGCAGAGCTAGTCATTTGAAATCCAAAGTTCTTATGAATAATTTTCAAAGCACGCACAGCTCTATCTGGAAATAATCTAGATGAGACACCAAACAAGCTAGCCAATCTTTTAGTCTTACTGTAAATTATAAATGCAATAAGAAAATATTTGTAAATATATAAATGTCCTTGTGGCAAGGAGGTTTTCTGATAGAGTGTTTAATGGGTCTTAAGATCAAGATAGCTGAGAGCTGCTTGAGAAGGGGGAAAGAGCCATGTTCAGCTGGTCATGAAGATTGGGAAGTAACTGAGCCAAGTTACATCGCTGGCTCAGGAATTCTAGGAGTTGAAGTCCATGAGTCATAAAAGAGCCAAGGTTGCCTACCCCTGGCCAATTTTCCCAGTCATGAAGGTTCAGAAGTAGCGTTTTCTTTTACTATATAATTTTAGATCAAGGGTGTCAAACTCACCACGTCATGTGATGTGTCGTGACGTATCACGTGTCGTGACTCTTTTTGCATTGCCGGCAATGGGGTGGGCACGCTTTGGTATGATGAAACCTGCCCGCGGGCCGGCAGTTTGACACCCCAGTTTTAGATGAAACATGGAGAGTCCTGTTTGCAAGAAGGTCCTATAAATCAATGAAAACAAATGAGTATGATGGGGTAAATGAATATTTTGTGGCTATCACCATCACAATTACCAATAATAATATTGATTAATGCATTATTTATTAGATTTCCATTTAGACTTTCTACTATTTCTACTGCAGAGTCCTTGGTGTGTGCCCCAAATTCCAATGTGTCCATCAGTCTGATTGTAACCCCTGATATTGTATATGATTTTAATTTCTGCAGAGCAGAAATTGTTCCTATATACCATTTGTGAATGTCAGTGTCAAAACTCTCTAGTACTACTTGAATGCCCAAGATGGGGGAGGTTTGTTGGAGTCTGCTAGAGATTATTTTTTCACTTATTTCTTTTGCATGAACTGTCTAAACAAACACAGGATGTTTGGTGTCATCTGCTGTATACCACAAACATCTCAAGAATCATGCTTGGCAGTGGCTTGGCAAAGGAGGGGAGAAAAAATTGCCCCAAGACTATGGATTTCTGCTGACTATTTCTGGTAATTCTTTTGAAAAGTGAAACTCATTATCTAAGATTATGTAATTCTAATGTTTATCTTTGAAAGGGTTGATGAAAAACCACAGAACAAAAGATCTTTTGTTTCTTGCCCACAACTTTCCTGCGGTTCTTGAATTCTTCCTGCAATTCCTCTAAACGGATTTGTCCTATGTTGAAATCGTGCCCTAACATGATTAACGTGGGCAGATTTAGCATCCGTACCACGGATCCAGGATTTCTGGGCAAATCAAAGTGTGTGTGTACGTAAGTGACTGCATCTAAACGCAAGAGCCGCGGGATGTGATTATGACACCGATGTGACAAACAGATCCAATGATCTGTTTGGAGAAAGTCGGGGAGAAAATTCGTTGCTTCAGGATTTGGCAAAACGATCTTTTTCGCCAGTGATGAGAAGCACTTAGGCTTTCCCTCTCTCTTCACCTGCCCGCTGTCGCTCAAGCCACGCGGCCCCTTCCCCCAGCGGCGAAGGCAGGGCTACCCACGCGGCAGTGAGGAGTGGGGAAGGAAGGGGGGGTGGCGCCCTTCGCCCCCACCTCTCGCGGAGCAGAGCCAAGGCAGAGTTCGCCCACCCAGGCCGCCGCCCTTTCCGCTGAGGGCGGCGGAGCCCGGGCGAGAAAGCACCAAACTGCCGCCACCGGCGTCTGGCTGGAGTAGCCCCTCCAGAGCAGCCTTTGGAAGCGGGAGTGGGCGGCGCTCCAGCCGGCGAGTTCCAAGCAGGCGGGGAAGGGACCGGGCTTGCAGCCTTCGCTCTCCCGGCTCTGAAACTCAACAGCCGCGCGCTTTGCCTGGACATGTCTTGAAAAACTTGGATCTTGTCCCGCCCCTCTCAACTTGCTGGGGTTTTTTTTTTTTCCCCTCTCCTTTTGAACCGGATGGGTTCAACCCGGCAGGCAGCCACCTGGAGATGGAGCGAAGCGGGCGATCTCTCGGGCGCTGGAAGAGACGGAGCCAAGTTGGTCTTTGGTTTATGCGAGTCCTTTGAACCCGGGTCTGTTGGGATGGACTGAAGCAAAAGGAATTCTAGATGTAAGCAAGGAAAGCGAGGTTGCACCCAGCTGGCCTGGTTGGTGAGTCCTTCCTTTCATCCTCTCCTTCCCAGCCCTTCCAGTTGCGTTTCGGAAGCCCTGCGTTGCGCTTCACCAGCAAGAGGGAGTGTTGGATAGACGAATGGACGGACACTTCGGGGGGCACCGGCCCTTTGCGTGGCCTCTCTCTTAACCTCCTTTAGTTTCTATCTGTGTGACCTCTAGCAAAAACTCCCCACCCATTCCCCACCTTTTTTTTTTTTTTTTTTTGCAAGAACCAGTGATCCCAGTTGCAGTCTGCGTCTTTCAGATCGTTGTTTAAGGAACCTGGTTGTAAAAGGGTGCTCCTAGCTTTTACGTATATGGTCGAGTGCAACTTGTTTTAGGAATAGTGCCTTTGGGAAGGAGAAACAAGTAGGCGATCCACGAGGAAGCATTATGGCGCAGCGCCCTCTAGCTACCAAAAAGGGATAGAGCCGAGTTCCTGTCCCCTGTTCTGTGGCTGCCTGGGCCGGTAACCAGTCAGTCAAGTTCAGCAGTGTCCGGAGCCACGAGGAGAGAGCAGAGAGCAGAGAGATGAGCTCTCCTCTCCCCCCCCCCCAACCGTCCATTGTTGTCCCACCTTTGGAGCCCCTTCCGGCTTTCTCCAGTGGTGAGCCTCGAGGGCGAGCTTTGGCGTCTCGTTTCACGACTTCTTGTCAGTCACTGGGCGTGTGAAGAATGAATGAGAAGAAACGGGCTTTCTAAGCCGAGATATGAGGAGGGATTGATCACAGCGATTCAGCCCCCGTGGCGCACCTTGAAGAATCTGCTTTATTTTTAGCCCCTCCTTTTTTGAGGGAGGTTTTAGTAAGGAAAAAGGCGATTCCTTCCTTCCAGGCAATTAAATTTCGGAGGGTGGGTCGCAAGGTTGGAAACCGGAACTTACTAAACCCGCTGCGGTCTCTTCCTCGGGGATGCCTCTTTAAGTCTCGTCCCACAGCGATTTTTTATTTTTTTTACCGCCTCCTAGTTGTAACCTGTTTCTGAAACAGCCCTGGGGAGGAGAGATGCTCAGTTAAACGTGTCGCACTGTTGTATTCACACTCGGGTTGCTTAAAAAAACGCTTCTATCCCCAACAAAGACCAACGTGGCGCAAAAATCGACGTATGTGTCACCTGCTGCTCCCCCCAACACGAAGGGACCCAAGCTGCCCCTGTGAACCTCAGACCGCTTGAGGCGGTACGCGCTGGGCTGTTCAAGTGATTTGTAAATCACAGCGACCTGAAACAGCTCCCACCGACTCAGCGTCCCACCCGGAAGTAGGTCCATCCAGGTCTACGAAGCATTACTCCCCTGCAGACACCAGCAGGATGGTGACTCGACTGCAGGAGACAGTGGCCGTGTGTCGTTTACAAGGATGTAGCCCAAACGGGCGCGCCCAACAATTTCTGTGCATTGAGATGAAATTCAATCTGACAAAAGTGGTCTAATGGAAACCAGAGCCAAGTATCAATTTTCTTATGAGTAGGATGGGTAGGATCGCACAGCAAAGCCAACTGGAGGGTACTTCTAGGTAAGTAGGGGCAGACTTATGGCTGGAAACCTAAGCATCTTACTCTAGGAGTAAGCCCCATTAACCACGAAAGGATTTACCCCTGAGTAGAAGCCTAAAGTCGCTGTGGTAGACGTTCTGCATCTGAGGCCTGGCTCTGCTTCTCTGCCACCCATTCGCCAACGCCTGTTTGCAGAAGGCAGGCGCTGTTCTCCGCCTTCTGTAGTCTGTAAACTGCTGATAGTCAGGTGAACTCCAGGTTTTATTGAGCTCTTCAAAGGATTTCAAACTACCCGTTCATGACATGGCAGTTTTTAAAAAATTCATTCATCAGAGGAAGCCTCGGCTCTTTTATCAATGGGGTAGGGGAGAAAAGTCGCTTTCCTTTCTGTAAATTGTCCGAAAGGTTCCTGAAATTAAGAGGTGGGTTGCTGGTATCGGGTTACATTTTAAATCAAAGCTCTGAAATGGAATATGAAAACCCTCCCATTTTCCCCCTCCTCCAAGAGAAACTCCCCCCTCCCAGTTTCTATTGGAGAATCCCTTCCAGAGCTCAGTCTCTCAAAAATAATCCAGCAATGCATCTGGTGTGTGTGGAAATTCCTACTCTTAAAAGTAAGTAACTCGGCTTTGAAATTCCCTAAGTAAGACGCCGTCTCCCCCTTTTATTTCCTCTTAGAAGCGGGCGGAGGTGGTTACGGTACAGTAATCTTTTGTTGGGCAATAGAGGCTGCGGGCACTCCAGAAAAGTTACCGACAGGGCGGTCCTTTGCCGAGTTGAGCTCCAGTAACCTTAACGTTGCTCGGGAAGGCGCTGCAATTAATAATTCAAGAATTTAAGCGGTATTGCTTAACTAAGAGAATTCGACCGCCGGTCAGAATGATATTGAAGCCTCGGGCAGTGTACTTCTGTTTAGGATCAACCGTCAAATCGCGTGGAGGCGCCTGAATCCAGGGAGATGATCTGATTCAGGCAGCATCCGTTTTACATGTAACTAGCAATAAGCCTGCTTGCAGCCAGTGCTTTAGACATGAGTAAACATAGCAACACCTAGGGGATCACCTTTAGTAGGAAGGCAAGTTGGTTTGCGCTGTGTTCTGAAGGTTGTTGGGGTCCAAACTGTTGCGGGGGAGGAGGTATTCGCGTGTGCATTCCTTAGTTTAAATCGGGTGAGTTTGTCTTTAATTCAAATATGCGACTGTTTTTAGAACTCCCTGGGCCTCCCAAGTTGGCGTAGTTGCCCTTTTCTGCCTTTAATTTCTGGTTGGGATATGATACTTTGCGGAATCCGCACGAAGGGCGTTGAGGTGCGTTGGGGTTCTGCAAGATTGAAAGGTTAGCGAATCCCCAGCTGTGAGCGCAACTGCAGGTTGATATGCCCTGCGCTGTCGCGGTCGACGTTGCTGAAGATTTGGGGCGGTAGAGTATTAAAGTGCCAAAGGAGGCGAGTTTTGGTTCGCGGAGTCTTCCTTTTAAGGGCTTGTAAGAGAATGTGCAGCGTATAAAGCAATTACAGGCATGGAAGTGCTAGGAGACGGACTCGGAGCAGAACACTATCATGCTCGGCCGAAATCCGGGCGGGTGGAAACTAGAAACTCTGAGATCTGAGGCTTTAGTTCTCACAAAAAAAAAAAGGGGGGGGGAGGAAAAGATGCCTTGTTCACATTTCCTTGCTTTAGGACATTAACCCAATGATGGATTAAAGCCAAATCTTCGAGGGTTCAAAGAAAACATTAACATACTGCTAGAGGCAAACATTACCTTAAAAGTAGTTGGAAAGGAGCATTAAATATATTTAAAGGTTCTTAAAAAGATTTAGCTGGATTTATCCTAAAGATCAACTGTGTGCATGTGAATTCAGGAAGGCTTACTCCCGGCCAGGTTAAAAAATAAATAAAAATGTTTGCTCGCTTTAAAGGAAGCTCCACCTAGCTTTACTTCCGAGTAAACAGATTTGGTCAAACTAAGACTGCTGCAGGCAGCTAATGAACCCGGTGAGACTTCCTCCTGAGTAAACAGGCCCCTGACCCTACACACTTACCCCCTTAGCCTTAAGCCCTTTCAAAACACACACACACACACACACGGTTCGTGTGATCACAACTGTTGCTCTGCTACAAGCGCTCTGCCCTCAAAGGGAAAGGGGGGTGAAGAAGGAGAATGGTAGTGGCGCGTTTGATCTGCAGGGTTATAATCACTCCGGAGCCAGATGGTTGCGAGCCGTGCAGTCGCTGAAGAGTGGTTTAACTTTTCATGCCAGAGAAATTAGTTCCGGACGCGGTTTGTGGCGGCTGCCCCTGCTTTGGCGGAGGAATCCGGGGACCGGAGCGTGTCGCGACGCGACGCGCGGCAGCAGCAGGAGCAAAGGAGGCGCCGCTGCAGGCAGTGAGGAGAGAGAGAGGAAGAAAGGGAGACTGGGGACCCGGACCGAGCACGATGCGAGAGGACAGGCTGGCGCTTTTCCTCGGTGGAAGCCATCTCCCCCGACGCCTCCGCCTTTTGCGGGGAGGAAACCTTAGAGGTGAGAAACGAAGCAGGATGGGACTCGCGGTGACCTGGACCGGCGGAAAACAGTAGAAGAAAGTTCGGGATCGGCATGCCCGCGGTGCCTTCCCAGCGGGGTCTTTCCCGCACGAGGAGGGGGCTTGTAGAGGAGCAGAAGCAGCCAGGAAAGCGGGAGTGCAAAGGAGCTAACGGAGAAAGAGGCGTCTTGGCTACCGCACAAGGGGAGGTGGGAAAGTTAGTGCTTTCTGCAAAGTTAGGAGTTTTTCTGCCCGGCCGCCCCATTTGCATTTGGATGGGTGGCAGAGAGCCCCCCTTTTCCGGAGGGGGGTGTCAGGACGTGAGTAGAATAGCAAGTGAGACACGAGGGGCTGCAGTCTGCCCGGGAGCTTTTGTCCTGCTGCTACCATTAGCTGAGTAGGGCAGGGCGAGCCACGTTGGGAATGAAAGAGACTTAGAACCGGGGCGGGGGGGGGGGGGAGAACTCCCTTTTCTTTCAAGAGTAGTTGCTAAATCAAATCTTTTAAGAGAGGTAGTTCTTAAAGTGAGACACAAAGCCTTTTAAGATATTTTCTACTCTGTCTCTCCTTCCCAACACAATTCCTGTACTTGATTTCAGAGTGCTTTAAGTTTTATCCACTTCTAAAATCCCTGCTAGTCTTTTATTATTTTTCCCTTGGTCTAAGTTCATTATTTTTTATCAAGGTCGGCCTGTCTTTCCTAATTGGATCAGAATCCAGTTGTTGTGACCTAACTAAAGTGCTGGAGAAAAATTGAAGGAAGTAGGCAGTAATTATCTTTTCTTATTAGTGGGCTTGGAAAGGAAGGAGCTGTTAACTATGGATTGAGGCTGTGATTTCTCTTGTTATGCTTGCCAGAGTTTGTTTTGAAGAGCAAAGGGTGATTAATATGTCTCAAAAGGAAGGCATGCAGAATTCTTGGCATCATGTAGTGGAAGATTATAAACTTTATAATCTGAAATAAGCATTTTAAATGCCAAGATT